TTTACAATGGATAGTTAAAATATATTTATTCAAAGTATTGGCCATTTGATTCTATACATTTTGCCCATCTCTCAGGCAATTTATGGATGCCATTCCAAAAGAACTGTTTCTCCTTTGAGCTAAACCATTCATCGAGCCATTTTTTAACTTCTTCGAAATCGGCGAAGTACTGCTCTGCAAGCGCGTGCCCCATCGATGCGAAAAGGTGGTAGTCGGATGGAGCCAAGTCTGGAGAGTACGGCGGGTGCGATAAAACTTCCCATCCAAGTGATTTCAACACTTCTTTGACTGGTTTTGCTGTATAAGACGGCGCGTTGTCATGCTGCAAAATCACCTTATCATGTCTTTGAGCGTATTGTGGACGTTTTTCGATCAATGCACAGTTCAAATTGATCATTTGTTGTTGGTAGCGATCAGTATTAACTGTTTCTCCAGGTTTCAACAGTTCATAATATACGACACCAACCTGGTCCCACCAGACATAGAGCATGGTCTTGCGACCAAAGCGATTTGGCCTTGCAGTCGATGGGCTGCCTTCGCCAGGTGATAACCATGATTTTTTTCGCTTGGGATTTTCGAAATAAATCCATTTTTCATCACCCGTTACTATTCGATGCAGAAATGACTTCCTTCCATACCTTTGAAGCAGCATTTCACTGACGATTTTTCGATTTTCCAATTGCCTGTCATTCAATTCATGTGGCACCCATCTTCCCATCTTTTGGATCTTTCCCATCGCTTATAATCGTTCACAAATTGCTACTCGGCTCACATTCAACTTTTCTGCCAATTGTTTTTGAGTTTGTGTTGGGTCTTCATCCAATAACTCCTGCAATTCCACATCTTCAAACATTTTCGGCCTACCAGGACGTTTTTTGTCTTGAACGTTGAAATCACTACATTTGAATTGTCGAAACCACGTTTCACATGTTCTTATGGTTGGAGCATGCTCACCGTAAGTCTCTACCAGCAAACGATGACTTTCAGCGGCTTTTTTCTTTTGATTAAATAAGAAAAGTAATGCGTGCCGCAAATGCACGTTTTCAGGCACAAAACTCGACATTTTCAAAAAATTATTAATCTATAACGCTGTTATTTTGGCGTAACTTGTATAGTTTTGAGGTTAATGTCAGTAGAATAAAATGACATATGTGTCAAATCATAACATTGCATACTTATGGCTAGTGACATCTGTTACAAAAACCGGAAAGTAATTACCGACATACCTGGTATTAAAAAAATTACTTTTAGAAAAAATATTCAATAAATATTCGCCGAAAAATAATATTTATTCAATATTTTATTCATGTTTTTCGATTCGATATTTGTATACCGAAATAAAAATAATATCGAATATTCGATAATTTCGAATATCGTTAAACATCTCTAAGTGATAGTCTCAGTTATAAGTACAGCACTGCAAATCAGTAAAATGTTACTAAAAGAATTAGTGAATAAAAGCAACTGGTTCCATCAGCGATATCTAACTGCAGGAAATAGTGATTAAATACAGCACAATCAGTGACATGCACTATTTAAATCAGTGAATATTAACTGGTATAATAGCGAATGTAAGCAGGTAGTTTTAATTATTGGTACTCGTATATTTATTCTAATGTAATACATTTATTGCATAGTACATATATAAAATATATTTATAAATTTTATAATGTTATATTATTTTATATTATAAAATACTTTATATTTTATAAAAAGAGACGTACGTATACATATTTTTTAATTTATTATATGTATAATATTACAGATGAAAAAGAAAGAAAATATTGACATAAATTTATATTAGATTATATTTGGTGAACAAATGGATTTAGTACTTTTTAAAAGAAGTCAAGATTTACTCATTCATACAAACAGTAGAAATAATATAATAATAATTGCGAAAATAATATTTTTATAATTTCTTCTATTTTAATCTAATCGTGAAATGAACTAAAATGATTTTTAGGTATTAATAAAATACAGGTAACTAAATTTGTACACCTAATATAATATTGTTTTAAATAAACGTGTAAAAAAATATAGATCATATTAGAGTAATATTTGAAATATTAATATGAGTAGAGGGCACAAGACCATGTGTTATTTCAAATGAAATTTTAAAACAGTAATTTTCCAAGAAACTAAAAAAATTAATCAGTGTTCTCGAGTACATCACATTAAATACATAATATCAGGTGTAGTAAAAAGAAATTCATTATTTTTCCAATAGATGGCTTTAGTTATCTGTATCTCGCGTTTATAAGTCCGATCGGGTTCCATTAGATGGCGTTAGAAAGATGAGATTTTGTACTAAAAAAACTTTTCTGACAGTTTTGTAATTAGTTGACTCAGTTTTGTTTGAGCGCGCGTCAAAGATAGACACTAGCAAAGAGAAAATACGCTATATTTTACAGTTTTTCTTCGATAAAGGCGAAAACACAAGCCAGGCGGCTGAAAATGTGAATAGTGTTTATGGTCCTGATACTGTAACAGCCAATCACGCACAATTTTGGTTTCGTCGATTCCGTTCCGGTAATTTCGATGTCAAAGATACACCACGCACTGGAACGCCAATTGTCGAAAATATCGATAAAATCATGGACATTGTCGAGTCCGACCGTCATATAAGCACTGTTTCGATTGCCTAAGAGCTAAAGATTGTACAAAAAACCGTTTGAAACCATTTGAATAAGGCTGGATACAAAAAGAAGCTCGATGTATGGGTGCCACACGAGTTAACGCAAAAAAACCTCATAGACCGAATTTCCATCTGCGAATCGCTGCTGAATCGCAACAAAATCGACCCATTTCTGAAGCGGTCACTGGTGATGAAAAGTGGATCACTTACGACAACGTCAAGCGAAAACGGTCGTGGTCGAATCGCGGTGAGCCGGCGGAAACGGTGGCCAAGCCAGGATTGACGGCCAGGAAGGTTTTGCTGTGTGTTTGGTGGGATTGGCAGGGAATTATCTATTATGAGCTGCTCCCCTACGGCAAAACTCTTAACTCGGAACTGTCAACAATTGGACCGTCTGAAGGAAGCAATCGCCCAGAAGCGGCCAGCTTTGGCCAATAGGAGAGGAATTGTGTTCCATCAGGACAACGCCAGGCCACACACATCGATAGTGACTCGCCAGAAGCTCCGGGAGCTTGGTTGGGAAGTTCTTATGCATCCACCTTATAGTCCGGACCATATAGGACCTTATAGTCCTGGCACCAAGTGATTACCATCTGTTCCTGTCCATGGCGAACAATTTTGCTGGTGAAAAATTCGCTTCAAGAGAGGCTTGTGGAAATCGACTGTCTCAATTTTTTGCCAATAGGGACGAGGGCTTCTATGAGAGAGGCATAATGAAATTACCTTCAAAATGGCAACAAGTTATCGAACAAAACGGCGCATATTTGACCTAAATCGGATCATTCTAACTATGGTAATTAAAGCCTTCAATTTCATGCAAAAATAATGGATTTCTTTTTACTACAGCTGGTATGTCTTGAACAAATCAAGTGCTATAACTGGTGAGTTTATACTTGGAGTCAATGTTTAATTATCTGTCTGTATGAAGTGACTTATTGATTGTCCTTTTATTAAAATAATATAGGTTTGAATAGAACCTTTGGCTTCGTTTCTCATTTTTTCAACTTTGTTCTCTATGTTTATCCCTTCCTAGAAAACAGAAAAAAATAATATTTTTGCATGTAAAAGAATATTAAATATTGTAAAAAGATACATCTATATGCAGTAACAAAACTTATAGGCCAAATTTGAACTAATGACGGATTTGGCAATGTTGAGGGTTAATAGACATCATCAGCATAATTTTCCTTACCAATGTTTTCCTAAAATATCATTTTTAGATATTAGAGTTACACTTCAATAATTATATTTCGATCAACGTATCCGGCGACATCTGTTTTGATAACATTCAAATCCACTTTTTTGCAACCTTCGTTTTATTGTGAGACCATGTACTGTTTGCAAATATTGTGTCAAACCATTTAATCTCCCTTTAATCGTATTGTGACACATAAAACATCGTAAGGTCTCCATTGTTAATATTTACGTCCTATATATTTGTTACAAATGCAATGATTTTTATAAATATAATTTCATCAATAATGTTTTTGTAGAAAATGGCTATAAAATAGAAAATAGGATAAACAAGTACAAACCTTTAAATATTTTTCGTGTCTCCAAATCTGTAACTTCTTCGATTTTTGCCCCTAATGCTTCAATCGACAAACATCTGATCCATTTGCGATCTTGCAATCTAATAAAATAAACGGATAAAAATTATGGAGAACAGGATAATTGAAGCAGATTCATTAAAATTTTGATGTTATTGAAAGACATTGACATTAAAATTACAAATAATTCTTCACAGAATATACTCAGACTGAACTGATTATCACGACGTGAGACAATCGATAATGAAAATTACACAACCCTTCCAATTATATTTATGAAGCAAATATACAATATTAAATTAATCGTTAAATATATGTCATACAATAATATAAATTCCTCGTTATATTGATGCAGCAAAACGTTTATTAAAAATTATATACATAGATTTTCATATTACATTTTGCATGGCATGTCTTTCTGAATAAAGTGTCATAATTTCTTGCATAATAACATAGATTTTCATATTACATTTTGCATGGCATGTCTTTCTGAATAAAGTGTCATAATATTTTTTTTTATTTCTATTCCGTCATTGTATGTGATAAATATGAGTGCCATATGATCCACTTATAAGAGATGTAACTTTACGCACTAACTAATAAAGTTTAAAGTCAAATTTACGTACACCTGTCTATCTGGCTAATAAGTGTAAATATCCACCCAGATAGATAGATATATGTTTTGGCAGCAACTTTACCAGTCACTTTATTAAGGTTGCGTCCCTTGTGATTGGTTTATATGGTATTCATATTTATCACATAGAATGACGAAATGGAAATAAGAAATACGAAAAGAATGATAAAAAATTTGCTCATAACAATATGTCATGCAACAGTAACATAAAACTCTCGATATAATTTTTAGTCAATTTGCAGCTGCATATAACAAAAAACATCAATGTATGACAAATTTAACGATTAATTCAATATAGTATATTAATTTCATAAATATAATTAAAAAAGTTGTACAGTTTCCATCATCGACTATTTTATATCGTTAGGAATAATGTAATATTAGCTGTTGTTGTTGTCTTCTTATCGATTTTCCGTCGTCCAGACAATCTTCGTTCAGTTGTCAAAATCAGCATCAAATGCCTAAGGCTCACGGACAACGGACGCTGCCACAAGCTTGTGGCTCGGACACAACAATACTGACAGCATTTTTTCAATGGAATTATTAATGAGAGAAAGGAAACAGTTTTTACTTTTATTATATCTTTCGCGAATAAATAATAGAGAAATTGATACAAATATAAAATGTTTATCTTGTTTGTAGCTGCACTACCACTTGCAATATAACTATTATTTTCTTTGTATTTCCTTAGAAATCTATCTCGTAAATTTTTCCACTTTTTTTTACAAATATTAGGGTCTGTATCTTTTTAAGTAAAAATGACAATTATATGTTAAATAATAAAAGTAACAATGTAGAAATTTAAATAGTGAATAAAATATAAAATAAATCTTTTTTAAGTACATACTAAGGGCTCGACCCACTTCTTCCCAAGCTTTTTGTATTATGTTCATTGCTCTCATTTTTATATCCAATCTGTGATCCCATAAACATGACCTTTCTTGTACTTCTGATATTAAAATTTCTTCAAATACTTCAAATGCTTGTGAGTTTAAAGATTTATTAGGCTGAAAATTTAATATATAAATAGAATTTATTTAAAATGACTATTGTTAAATAAATGATGTCATTCAGTGACTAACCTAACATAACTAAAACTAATTAATAATTATTTATACTTACATCTATATTTTCTATATCTGCTTCCATATTTTCGTCGAGATATTCATAATTTTCATAATCTGTCATAATAAATTTAACCGTCTGATCCTGAGCATAGTGGCTGCGTTCAGCAGAACAAAGTGATCAGTGAGCGCTTAGTGATTCTCGCTCCTGATTGGTAAATACTTCTGGGTCTTCTGGGTGAAGAATCTAAAAGAATGCTCCAATCACAGACAATAATCACTAATAGCGTTTTTCATTGGGATGCACTGAGTGCGCATTAAGAACTCGTGGAGTTTAGGCGACACTACCCGAGTTTACCGACAGTGCAAGTTTTTTTGCACGCCCAATGAAACACTCATGACTTAATGAGTGCGCATAAGAACCGATTCGCCTTGGATTGAAAGAAAATATATGCATTAACGTAAACTTCACTATGGAACAATCAGAAGAATTAAGCATTTCTTTCAAAGTCAATAATGACATGCTCTCGTTAAAACTTCTATCAAGCGAAACAGAGTTATACAATAAAATAATGAGTAAGTATAGAATTATATAGGACTTGCATGATTTTGGATTTTGAGGTTATTCCCGTAGTATAAATAAATTGTCGGCAAAGACATATGTACTTATGTACATAATAGTTTTTGGATATTGTCTACTCGAAAAACTTGAATGCATATATAACCCCTTGTAAAGCTTGTAAAACACAATTCATTTGATATTCAAAAATATATACATAAAAGAATATTAACTGAATATTATTGATTCTTGTGTCAATTAATTTCAGATGACGATACCTATAGCATACAATATATAAAACTTGTGATTAAAAATGGATTGTGTGTTCTACATGGAAGCGAAAATCAGAAAATTGAAGAAATATCTCGAGTGATTGAAGATGAGTAAGTAAAATTTTTTTGAGATGTATTAATTGCAAGCTATCAAAATCTTCCGAAAAAGCACATTAAGAAGTTAAGAGCAAAGTTTATTTTATAAAATATAATTACCATTTTATTTTACAAGTTTACTTTAAAAAAATAAGTAAGTTTACTTTAGGGTAAACAGGAACTCTTCAGTTTCTTACATACATATATTAATTCCAAGCAATCTTGTTTTTCATTATTTCTTCAAAGAATCAAAGTTCTACAGAATTCAAATGTATACAACAGAAAAAAAATTAAAAAAAAAATAAAGGGTAAGTCAGAGGACCTCTGCAACGAACTTTGACAAATTGTTTGGAAGGTCATTCTGAGTAAAAAATGTTATATGAACACAGGTCCTATTCTTAATATTTACATAGTTACAGAAGTTGTAAAATTTAGGTGACATGTACAGTTATGAAATGAATTATGCATTTATTTCTTCAAGTATCCTTGCGGACAGTTTACAGGAGTTGTTCAAAGTGTTTATTCTGAATCTGATTACTTTTATTACACCATCGTAGCAGTGATTGTCAAATTCTGTCGAACATTTGAGGTCTGTAAATATTAAGAATAGGATCTATATTCATATGACATTTTTTAATCAGAATGACTTTCCAAACAATCTGTCTAAGTTTGTTGCAGAGGATCCTTACTCACCCTGTATATGGCAGTGTAAAATGTCAATATATTTTGTATTACAGAGAACAATTGATATTCCACGCGAATATTCATGGTGATAATCGCAGCAATGAAGATCAGCTATCGGAGTAGAATAAAGAAAATGAAGCACTCATGTTTGAATCCTTTGAATCACAGGAATATGATCAGAATGAATCACAATCGCAGGAGTACGATAAAAAAGGAAAGAAGAGTAGCGGTAAATCTGTTTTAATAAAGCATTTACGACTATTCATAGCACTATGATAATGTACTATAAAATATGGTATTTGTTATATTCGCAGAAAATTAATACGATACGAAACGAAGAATGATACGTTAATAAATATAATCTAAATATGTTATTAACAAATAAAATACATACAATATATATGTATAATAGAATATATATAAATATAATATAAATGAAATAAATATAATATGAAAAATGTAATATAAAATATAAAAGATTTTTTAAAATCTTTGACTTCACAAAATTTTTACATTATTGTAATACCTACTAATAGGTTTACTGGTGCTATAATGTAGACTATTGTATTAATCATTAAACAACGTGATTTTCAGATTACTGGAGCAATTCAGGAACATCGTTTCTTCTCGATAAATATGAAACATATATGTCGGATATTGGTCCCATGAAAAAATTCAAAACTAAAAAATTGATGTGGGCGCAAATTTCAAAAGATATGCTGACGATGTTGGACGTATTAAAAACTCCTCTTCAAGTTGAAAATCGGTATAAAACCGTTCTCAAAAGGAAAAAAAAAGCAGTTGAGAACAACTCTAAATCAGGCAGCTCTAGAGAGGATGTACCATTCGAAGAAGAATTGCGTAAAATTGCTCATTCGGACGATAGTATTGAGCCCGAGGTGTTGCGAAATGCAAGGAGCGTTAAATATCCTAAATTGAATACAAAAATGTCGGAAGAAATCTGCAATGATAGTGCCTCTACACATTCTACTGATAGCTCACCACCGAAGACAAAAAAATCGAAACCAAGTGATATTGATAAAAGGATGGAATACTGGAAAAATAAAGAAGCGGCAAAAGAAAGACGTCACCAAGAAAAGTTGAATTTAATACGGGAGTTGTTCGCCAAACAAAAGTAGTGGGAACTAAAGTAAGATGATACAGAAACAAGCAAATATTAAAATAAACCAAAGAAAGACTAATGTAAAATCAGCCTGAACCATATGTTAATATGAAAGTTCCTAACTAAAACGCTGGATGTGATATATAATTTTAATTATTTTTTTTTCTCTTATAATTTTGTACGTTTACTAATTGTATGTCTTTGTTTTTAATATTACTGGTTTTTAATAATAGCGTATGCATATTTTGATTTTCGCACTTTACGAAAGATATAGTACTGCTCAGACTATTAAGTATGAACCAGTATAAAGTAAACTTATTGTGTTATTTAATTTTAAAACAGTGTTATTTAATTTTACAATCAAACTTTTTGAAAAAGCGTGTATGTTAAAAAATTACATGTTTATGAAATAAATAAGAGATATAATATATGAATTTTGAAAAAATAATCAATATGTACGTGTTATAAAAAAAATATGCTTTGTTTTTATACGTTTTGTTTTTTATTGGAAAGTATGTACTTATTTGCCACAGGACAAATAAACGTTTGATAATTTCATATTGTATTAATTTTTATTTCATGGAAAAAGTACATTCGTCAATTGGTTTCTTTTTACTTCCCCTAATCTTCGTAATAGAGCTTCTTGTTGACCTCTGCCTTCATTATTATAATCTTCATTGTTTTCTATAACAATATCGACATCAAAGTTATCGTTGTTGTCTATGCATAAGTTATGCAAAACGCAACATGATGTAATAAATTTTGATATTTTATCAATAGTATGTAGATCTACTTCGATTAATTGTCGAAAACGACCTTTCAACAGTCCAAACGCATTCTCGATCAATACTCGAGTCGCAGACAGCATTTTATTAAATTGTTTATCCTTTGCAGATAGATTTCCGTAGTCTTTAAATGGTATAATAAGCCATTCTCTTATTGGATACGCTCCATCGCCTAGAATGTGATATTTTCCGCCTTCACATATTCCTAGCAACTCGTCGCATATATCTGATAATTTGAGTACGCGCGCATCGTGAATTTTCGACGGGATTCCTGTAAATGTATCTATAAATCTCTTTCGAGCATCACATATGCCCTGCAATGTTATCGAAGGGATGTCATGTCTATTTACATATGTCGATTTTATTTTGTGGGCTGGCGTTCGGACTTTAATGAAAGTCCCATCAATGCAGCCAAGAACTTTCGGAAATCCTGCAATCTTCAATTTTATATACATATACATTAAATAACTCATTAGAAAAACATACATAAAATACAATAAAGCTGAAACTAGTAGCAAATTCGCATAAGCACTGTTTAGAACTAAAGAATAATAGAAAAATTTTTAGCATTAAATAATTAATTAACAAGAAATTGACATTTATTAAATAATAATTAAAAACTACTGCTTTCATAATTCAGCTATGAATCGGCTGCTAGCTTTAGCTTCATTAAAATACATTAATTAAATATACATACTTGAAGGAATTCGTTTGCAGTATTTTCTTTGTCAGAAAATTTGATGATGTTTCCAGCTATATCGCATAGAAAATCCATCATTTTTTTATTTTGTCGAAAAATCGTTGTAGCGCATACTCCAAATCTTTGTGCAACATCTCTTAAGCACACTTTATTTCCTGCAAACCTATACAAAGTAATATTTTTTGAAATCTTTTTAATATTATATATATATATATATATATAATATGAGTGGTGGATGAATTAAAAACTATACATGTATATGTAAAACTTACCACAAAAAAGATAAAACATGTGATTCAGCAGAGGACGGTTTAATACCTCCGTGGCTTGTATCACCAGAATAGAGCATCGAATTTTCGAAATTATTTATAATATCATATGCTGTTGCCCTCGAAACTGGGATTTGAACTACAACAAAAATAAAAATTACTTTCTACTTTTATTTTCACAAGCTAAATTATAACAATAAACTTACGTCGTGATCGGAATATTGATGTACTATTTGCAAAAAGTTTTTCATTTTAGGAACAATTCGCCTCGGATTTCGAAGAAAATACTCATCTTCATCACTGCTGGATGAAGATGAAAGGAAATCCCAAATTATCACATACGTTTGTTCATTCAAAACATCTCTGTTCTGCGCCGCCATGTTTTGCACTCAACCGACACCATCTCTCCGAGCTCGTGCCGAATTTGTGCACGAAAGTGCAAAAACTCGACACTACATTTTCCATTGAAACACGACGCATGATTTTAATGTGCACTGAAATTCCCAATGAACCACATCGTCCACGACTAGTGCGCATTGAGTGCGCACTCATTTTCCCAATGAAAAACGCTATAAGCGTTCACTGATCACTTTGTTCTACTGAACGCGGCCATTGTTGAAGCTTGGCAGAACGAGAAAAACTGGACTAATTGGTTCGCGCGGGACGAGATGCTGTTTCCGCCAATGGCAACCTCGCTCCTCGGTCGGCATCGCTTATCGCGCGCGACAAATCTTCAAACTTGGTCAACTTTTTGCGACGTCGCGATCTATCGTACGACGGATGTGACGTTCGGAAAAGCTGTACGCTCATTGGACATCGCGTGTCACGTCGCGCATGGTTTGCAACAGCCTTAAGGCTCGTCTACATCAGCTGTAAGAGTATGGCTGTAAGGTTGCAAGACACGATTATAACTATGTATTTCCGGTGTAGTAGATTGTAACGAAAGCTGTAAGCGAAATGAATTATTTTCATTTCTTACACCTTACTGCCTTACTGCCTTACATCGACCAATCAAAACAAAGCAGCACGTAGAAAGAGCGCGAATGTTAAATTAGTTACATACTCCATACGTCCAAACATATGTAGAATTAAATTTCTTTTTCAAAAATGGGAAGTGAAGGTGGAGAAGAATTCATGGATGAGGAAGAGAAGGAAGAGATAGAAGATAGAGAACTTATTAACATTATCAGAGCGAATCCTTTTTTATATAAGAAATCGGAAAAATTATATAGTAACAAAGAAGTAAAGAGGTTATCTTGAGCAACTATCGGTGCTGGTTTGTCTAAAAAAAAGACAGTTTTTATAAAATTTATTTATGTAAAACTTTGAATGCAAGAAATTCTCTAAATATTAAGTTATTATTGGCTTATTCATATGATAAATGAGGTTATATTTGTATAGGTCCTGAAGTTGAAAATAGATTTTTCCAACTACGACAGCGGTTTGCGAAAGAAAGAAAGAAAGTTATTCAATCTCAAGGACGATCTGGTGCTGGAGCTAACCATGTAACATATACTCCTAAATGGGATCTTTATGACGATTTAATGTTTCTAGTTGACATAATAAAACATCGAAAGTGAGTGCTAATTACGTTCCTCTGGTTTTAAATTGTACTGAAATATATATTAATTTTCTCATTCTTATATTTAGTACTACATCTAACTATAAAAAAAAAAACTCTCAACAACAACAATATCTGAAACTGTATTATGTGATAATATTGTGATGCACTGTCCTTCAATTTCCATATCAAGTTGCTCTTTATCTACACCGAGTGTGTCTGACGAAAATCTGGCAGTTTTGACTGAAAGTTCGTTTTTGAAAATTTACTTGTTATTTTTAATTATTGTTTTTATTATAATACAGAATGTATTAATATAAAAGACAGGTTTGATGTTCTAATATCTTATTATTGGTATTTTAGATTATGTTAATAAGCATTCAGATGTCATTGAGACATATGCATATGCTGAAGATCCATTGTCTTTATCTGTAAATATTGTGACATCTCCAGAAAATAATCGAACAAATGCGTCATCTGCAAAGAAAATAGAACAAGTAATGACAAGCGCTTGTAAAAAGAGTGTTCCGGAACCAGATTCATTTGTTCAAAGCAAGAAACGAAAAATAGATATCTTTAATAAAGCGATATTTGAGCAATCAAACAATTTGAACGTTTTAGCACAAAAAGTAGGGGATGCATTGTTAACATGTACTTTAGAATCTGCTTCTGTTACACCTCGTGCTACAGAACTTCTATGTTCATTTCCTTAGGATATAAAAGCTATGTTAAGTTCAATAAGTTTTGCTTTGCAGAAAATACCTCAAGCTAACCAGTTAGATTGCCTAATTGATATTATGCAATTAGTGAGACAACATATTGAATAAAAGAATTGAGTTTTCATAAAGATCATTCAAAGCAAAATTTCAATTTTTACAAGAAGCATGTCTCATAAAAAAGTTAACGAGTCAAAGTTTTTATTTTGTTAATAAAACGAAATCTTTTTTGTATTATGGTTAAAGACTGTTTTAAAGACTGACTTTCTAGAATTAAAGTAACCTTGATAATTTTAAAGATGATATATAGTGAGATTTTAGTATGTCTGATTAATACTACTTTTTTTTTTGTTTTAAGTTTTTTTGTATATTTAATATCTAAATGTTAAGTATTTTTGTTCTCTGATTAATGCTTGAACCAAAATGAGAGTGCAATTTGTGTTTAGTGCATTATGACTATTTGTGCCAAAGTTTAAGTAATATAACTACGTAACTCACATTTGCACATATGTTCATAAAAAGTGTTAATATGTTTTATATTTATATATAATGTTTGTAGAAAGTGGCTTTATAATATAAAAGATTGTAAGAAGAAAATATTTTTTAATAATAAAATATATTTCAATATGTTGTATTAATTTATTCTTTTCATTAAAACTGCTAACAAAGAAACTTATTTTATTTTTATATATTTTATTTTATATTTGACAAAATGTACACATATGATACGTAATTATATACATAATCGTTTTCACAATTACTAATTATATAGTAATTATGAGGACTGTATGTAAATGTCTAACCAGGTAGATTGATGTTATATCCTCTTAATGCTCTTTTAAATTGCCAAGGTGCTTGAGCATTACCAATAGGCGACATAAAATAATCTTTTAAATAATTTCTTAAACCTAAAGAAATAGCACCAGCTCTGTTAGCTCCTATTCGTGACAGTTCTTTAAAGTATTGACCAGCTCCTATAGTACGCCATCGGTCTTCTATTATTATTCCTTCATCATTCTCCACATCACACCAGTCAGGCTGACAATATTGGCCATTGCTATCATTACTACTCATTGCAAAATTGTGTAAACAAACAAGTGCTTTACAAATCTTTTCTGCATTTTGTACTGAGCAACACATTTTTCTATGTAGGATTCTCCATCGAGAGCTAAGAATTCCAAACGCATTCTCTATACATAATCTTGCTCGCCCTAATCGATAATTAAATATTCGCTCTTCGTTTGTCATCCTGTCTACTTTTCTTGGAAAAGGACGCATCAAATATGGTTTCAGAGGAAATGCTTCATCAGCCACAGTAAAATAAGGGAACGGAACATCTCTGTTTGGTAAAGGTGTAGGTTCTGGTAAGCTTGCCGTACTATTTTCTAAATCAACTGCCAAATCTGTCCTACTCCATACACCACCATCGCTTAACCTGCAAATAAGTTATGCTCATTACCCACGATTCACCGAAAATACATTAAATCCGCATCGATTCAAATATTAATCCCATTAACAAATTCACATCGAATCGATGAATTTGTACCAAATAGGATTGATATTTGATTGAATCAATGTAGATTCAATGTTTTTTCAATCAACCACTTCTCAATGCGTAGTAGATAATGATGGTTTATATTGAATAAAAAATATTTACCATGTTGGCCAATATCAACCCATGTAAACTTGTAATTGGCATCACACATCGCCATGAGAACGATGCTAAAATATCCTTTATAATTATAGAATTCAGATCCTGAACATGGTGGTGCTTCTATTTCCATATGGCGACCATCAAGTGCCCCAATGCAATTTGGGAATTGCCATTTAAGAAAAAAGTTTTTGCTTATTTCCTTCCAATTTTCACTATTTAATGTGGGTAAAACAATCGGTTGAAGAGCAAGCCATATGGCATTGCAAACTTCTGGTATAATTTTGTGCACTGTTGATTTTCCACAACGATATTCCAAATGTTTACTGCGCAAAGTATCGCATTGGGCAAGATACCTAGAAAAAAATATGAAGGAAGCAATTAAACAAAATGTTAATTTAGTTAAAATTATGTAATCACTGTAAACAGAACAAATGACAACTACTTCAAGGTAATGGCTAGCCGTACATTGGGTGACAAAGGTTTACGAAAACTATACTTTTTTAAATATGGAGTTACTAGCTTTAGTAGAAGCTTATATTGTTCCGGCCAAAATCGAGTGTAAGCAAAAAATTCTTCATGATCTGTCATTGTCATTTCATGACATATATTACACACAAATCCCTGTTCTTTTTTTTTTTTTGATTGATTTGACCCACCAACGTCTGACTTTGATTCTTCTGTTTGCTATAAACTGAAGGAGAATACTTCGTTGCCTCAACAACATAAAAACGATTGTAAGTCCTAACTTCTTTAAATCCATTTGTTATTGATTTAATTAGAATAAAAAACAAGCTTTGGTAAATGTAGACAATGTCAGCTGACAAGTTATAACATTCCTTTGGAATTGATTTCGGTCGGAATTCCATTTATCCTATAAAGATAATATAGAAATATAAGGAATAACTAAAAAAATTTAATAAATAAATAAAATAATAAATTCTGATAAAATCTGTCAACTTACTCAGTTTCTTTTTTTATTGGTCTGCCTTATTTTCTTTCAGCCATTGGTTGCGTTCAGCAGAGAAAGCTGCTTTGCAACTGTTGTAAAATTTGTGAATTTGATTGGAGTATGCTCTTAATTTTTGTTGAATCCAAAAGCATATGCCAATCAGATTTACGAATTTTACAACAGTTGCAAAGCAGCTTTCTCTGCTGAACGCAGCCATTGGCTGCGTTCAGCACGACAAAACAGTTGCAAAACCGTTTTGATTTTCTGCTGAACGGTATTAAACACACTCAGCGGTGCAACATGTTTACTCAGCGGTCGCCATGTTTTTCAGCGAATTGAAAATACGCTGAATTCAAGCGCAATGTGTTGAGCAAGATGAATGCCTCTAGTGTAATTTTGGTTTCTAATATATTATATTTCCAGACAGCACAGACCTCTACTAGATGTCCTAAAAATATCCAGATGTTCCTAATTCTTGTGGATATTCTAAGGACATTCTTAATCATCTTTAAGATGTTTGGAAATTTATATCATGCTGACGCGTCCCTAAAGAGCGTTCAGAAGAAAATCCAAACTGTTGAAATGTATCATTAAACTGTTTACGAAGCGCTGAGTTGTGCTGAACGCAGCCATTGCCTGCGTTCAGCACAACTCAGCGCTTCGTAAACAGTTTAATGATACATTTCAACAGTTTGGATTTTCTTCTGAACGCTCTTTAGGGACGCGTCAGCATGATATAAATTTCCAAACATCTTAAAGCTCTTAAAGATGATTAAAAATATCCTTAGAATATCCACAGGAATTAGGAACATCTTCTGGATATTTTTAGGACATCTAGTGGAGGTCTGTGCTGTCTGCAAATATAATATATTAGAAACCAAAATTACATTAGAGGCATCCATCTTGCTCAACACGTTGCGCTTGAATTCAGCGTATTTTTAATTCGCTGAAAAACATGGCGACCGCTGAGTAAACATGTTGCACCGCTGAGTGCGTTTAATACCGTTCAGCAGGAAATCATAAAACGGTTGTGCAACTGTTGTGTCGTGCTGAAAGCAGCCATTGTAGATAGCACTGTTTTAAGAAAATTTTAATTCTATGACCAAAGTTAACGTTACAGCCTTACAGCCTTACTCTTACAGCTAATGTAGATGAGCCTTTAAAGGCTCGTCTACATTAGCTGTAAGAGTAAGGCTGTAAGGTTGCAAGACACGAAATTAAATATTTTCATTCGCTGACAGCTTACGTTACAGCCTTACAGCCTTACTCTTATAGCTATTGTAGACAAGCCTTAACTCGCACGACAAGAACGACGCGCAGAAGCTGCGCGAGAGCGCTCTCTGATTCTGATTGGCTTGCGATTATTGGATCGCATGGATCGCATCACTGCGATCTGCAGTGAAATTACTTCACTGACCACAATCAGTGAAATATAAGACGGAGGAGCTAAGTGGGAATGTTCTCAGTGAAAAGCAGTGAACATTCACTAATTATCAGTGAAATATTGCTTTACTGATTCAATCAGAGACATTTTCACTGATTAATTTTAAGAGAGTAGCTGCGCATCTCCAGAATTCTTCCACTCTATAAGAGATAGGACAAGAGCACAGGCTTTTGCATAATACATAATACATAACGCATAAGAGAATAAACCAATTAGTTTTCTTCATTTCCTTCCTCAGAACAGAAATGAAGAACTCTGATTGGTTGATTCTCTTATGCGTTGTGTATTATGCGTTATGCAGAAGTCTATGCTCTGGCCCATATCGGTAAAGGCCTAACCACACTAGCGATTGACGATTGGATTGCGATTGCGATTGGTGATTGGCGATTGACAATTATAAAATCACATTTTATTATGGTTCCAATTGTGACCACTAGTCAGTAAAAATAAGTGAAAATATAAGTAATAAAATAATAAGTGAGCATACGAAGTGAAAAAGGGAAAAAATAATAAATATTATATTTATGTAAGTTGTGCGTGCGTGCGTGAAAGAACGTTTTTGCAACGCGCCGAAGGGGAATCCACTATGAAAGAAGGAGGACGTACTAAGTGGCGACGGGACGCCGTGTGTTCTGGACCTGCATCTTATTTTCGTTCCGAAGAGAGAAAAATATCGAGAGTGCGGTAATCACTAGACTGGGAATCGAACCCGGGTCTTTCGCTTGCCGAATAATTCCATTATTAGCGAAATTTGAAGACATGAAAAAATAGTATTCATAGTATATACTATTCTTTCATATATCTTCATATTTTGCTAATCATTGTGTAAGATACAGACGAGGGAGGACAGCACCAGTCTATTCCGGGCGGAGCCACGGGAGAAAGACCGGTCCTGAGAGAGATCAGACTCGACGGATGGAGAAAAGGATAAAAGGAGACGCACGGAGGAAGACGGGGCTTTTTGGCTTTTTACCTGTTTGCCGTTAGCTCTTTAGCCTTTAGCTTTTGCCGATCAATGTCGAGACGAATAATAGAAATTAGAGTCAAGTCGAAGAAAGAGTCGTAGAGCGTTAAGCTTTTGTAAAGAGATATATTTGATATAAGTTGCGGTGTCGGATACTATTGTATTATTGTTTATTTAAAATATACATACTGATATTCTTGTTCATAATAAGAAGAGTACAAATTAATCGCTCGGAACCTTAACATCCTGAACATCCCTCTCTCACAAAGGAAGAGGATCAAGAAGAAGAGAGACAGAAAGATAATAGAACAGAGAAATAGAGGATCTCTCTTTTTAAATCTTACAATTGAATTAGTCATTTTATGTATGAACTTCATAATTTTTTTTATCACGCAGAGGAAATCCATCATGGATACCCCGACCCTTGGGGGGGTCGGGGGTTATGTCGGACTCTTACCTTCTAAAACCCCTGCGGAGTGTCTACCTTTCGGATCGTGGTGGGGGGAGTCAGGGAACTACTTCCGTATTCCCTCCCCGACACTCCGGCCCCAGGGCTCAGCCAAAAGCCTCTCGCCTGTGTACCGCGCCTTTCCACAAAGGGAGTCAGGGGCGCGGCCTCCGACCAGTTTCCCGGCCAGGTTGGCCTTCTGGTTGGATACTACTGAAGGGAAGGGGACACCCACCCTCCTTTTGCGCCCCCCTTGTTCGTCAAGGGGGCGGGAGAGTGGAGCTCGGCCCCAACCAGGCTTCCACTCCTCCTTCACCTAACCCCCTACCGACGCCGGGGGAAGGCGGGTGTGTGGGCTTCATTCACCCGTCACTCCCTCCCCCCGCGCGTCCGAAGGCGAGCCCGAGGCGGCCGAGGGGGCGGCCTCCGGCAAGTTGGTGGGCGCTCCTCCTCGGCCGGCGCCACCTCGGACCCGCTGCTCATATCGAGGGAGCGCCGCCTCCGTCGCCGCCGCTCCCTGTGGCGGTGAATGCCGGGACGGCGCTCCCATTCGGCGGCCTCCTTCTGCGACATTACGTCGCGGCAGAAGGAGGCCGCCGCCCCCATGCCTCCTCGCTCCCGCTCATGGCGCGAACCATGCGCGGGAGCGAGGGGTCCTCCGCGCGGCACTCCACCGCCTGGACCAGGTCACGGCGCCGCTGGCTCCATGCGGGGCATAGAGCCAGCGTGTGATGCGCCGTGTCCACGGGCTCCGGGCAGTGATGACAGCCGGCGGTGGGCTCCTTCTCTATCTGGCGCAGATATTTTCCAAAGCACCCATGCCCGGTCAGCACCTGCGCCAGATAGAAGGTGAGTCCCCTTCCGCTCCTGTCCGCCATCTCGGGCAGACAGGGGCGGACGGCCTCGGCCGTTCGGAGCCCGGATCCTCGGGAGTCGGCCAACATGGCCGACCACCGTTCCAGTACCCGGGCTCTGGCCTGAGACTTCAGGGCCACCAGGCCCCTGACCGTTGGTGCCTCCCCTCCCTCGCGAAGCTCCTTGACTCTCCAGTAGAGAACGTGTCTCTCCTGATCCAGGTAGAATGCCTCTAATCAGAGTGGCGACAAGTTGGGAGGTCCGTCATGTTTTATCGAAATCGGGTGTGTTCAGACATACGCCGTCAGTACTGAAAATCTATGAAATGTACAATTTATGAACTGACCGTAAATGTCGGAACATAGTGCAAAAAGTAATACAAACATTCGTATAACCTGTAAGCGTTTGACAACTGTTTATATTTTCGTTTTTATAGTTTTTATAGTTTCGTTAATTATTGCAAAATGGTTGGATGTACCATACCATTTTGCAACAATTCCTCAGAAAAGGGATATATTCTGAAAATAATCCCGAGAGATGATGAACGTCGACGACAATGGATAGAACGTATAAATACAAAGTATAATTGGACGCCAGCAAAACATTCATGTGTATGCGAGGTAAAATTATTTATTATGTACAAATAAAGAATATGTTTACTATTCAATTAAATGTTACGGTAATATAGGTACACTTTCAACCTGAAATGTGGGAACAGAGGAGCGATAAGAAAAGGAAATTGAAACATAACGCAGTACCTACAATTTTTGAATATTTTGTAAAGAAACAAATTCCTGTTACGATACCTAATACCATTGAGGAAACACAGCAGCCCGTTTATGAAGAACATACGAGAGTGGTCCGATAAGTACTTAGCCTACAAAAGAAAAACGAAAATTTTGGAAAAGTGGCGATTTATTTCTCAACATAGTCTCCTTTTAGCTCGATACACTTGACCCAGCGATGCTCCAACTTCTTTAACCCGTCTGAAAAATACGTTTTCTCGAGGTCTGCAAAGTAGGCCTCCGTGGCGGCGATGACCTCCTCATTCGACTCAAATTTCTGCCCGGCGAGTGACTTTTTCAAGTTTGGAAACAAAAAGAAGTCGCACGGGGCCAAATCTGGAGAATACGGTGGATGGGGCAGCAGTTCGTAGCCCAATTCGACCAATTTGACCGTGGCGAGGGCGGAGGTGTGAGCCGGTACGTTGTCATGGTGGAAGAGCACTTTTTTCTTCGCCAAATGGGGCCGTTTTTTGTGCAATTCGGCGTCGAATCGGCCCAATAATTCGGCATAGTACAGCCCTGTGACCATTTTGCCCTTCTCCAGGTAGTCGATGTAGATCACACCTTGTGAATCCCAGAAAACGGTGGCCATTACCTTTCCGGCCGATAGGACAGTCTTCGCCTTCTTCGGAGCACGTTCGCCGGGTGAAGTCCACTGTTTCGACTGTTCCTTGGTCTCTGGTGTGTACCAGTGGATCCATGTTTCGTCGACGGTCACGAAACGACGCAGAAACTCCTTCGGATTGCGCTTAAACAGCGTCAAACACTGCTCTGAAGTGGTCTCACGGTTGCGCTTGTTGTCCGGAGTGAGCAAACGCGGCACCCATCGCGCCGATTTCTCATGCCCAAAATTTCAGGATATGATGCAGGAAAATGCAGGATATGACCCACGCGGTCTTTTGAGATGTCTACTGTCTCAGCTATCTCGCGCACCTTCAATCGGCGGTCTGCCAATACGAGATCGTGGATTTTTGTCATGTTATCCTCCGTGGTAGCCATTTTCGGGGCACCTGGGCGTGGCTCATCAAAAACCGACGTGCGACCACGTTGAAACTCGTTAAACCAATTTTTGACGGTCGCCATCGAAGGAGAAGAGTCACCGTACACAGCATCCAAGCGCTCTTTGATTTCGCTGCGCGATTTCCCTTCCAAAAACAAGAATCGAATCACCGACCGATATTACTCTTTTTTCATTTTTCTAAAATCCGCGGACACGCCCGCTTCCACACGCGGTCAAAACAAAATCACGAGTCCGATTCGGCTGAAATTTCGACAGTAGCCGTCTACGAGAATGTACTACACGATAGTAAATTTCTCTTGCGATAGTGGCGCCATCGGGCGGTGAGGCTAAGTACTTATCGGACCGCCCTCGTATAGCAGTAAATGAGAAACAAGTAAAATAGAAATGAGAGAATATATACATACTACTGAAAGAAAGTATTTTTGAAGATTGCATTATATTGTTGTAGACGGTTATAAATGACATAGTTGAACCTGCTCCTGCTCCTACTACATCATTGTTAAATGATACAGAACACATTGAAGTAAATGAGAAACAGGTAAAATAGAAATAAGAGAATGTATATGTACTACTGAAAGAAACTATGTATAAATATTGTATTATATTGTTGTAGATGGTTATAAATAACACTGTTAAACCTGCTCCTGTTCTAATTATATCATCATTAAAGGATAAAGTGTGTACTTCACCTGCTAGCGATACAAAAGAGAAAATTGCTAATAAGAAGTTGGAAGAAAGAAATGAAAAACTGCAACAACGTATAATGCTCTTACGTAAACAAAATAAGGTATTGCGTTCACAAATACAATCACTCCAAAAGAGCGATACGAATAATAAATACAAACAAGTATTAAAGAAGGTATTCCACGAAGATCAAATAAAAGCGTTATTAACAAAACACCGAAGTACAAAATGTTGGTCTAATATAACTGTTTAACGTGCACTTAAGTTAAGGTTTGCGTGTGGTATAACTGGATATGAAGAACTTCTGCAACAAAAAATACCTCTTCTAAGTTTGCGCACTTTACAACGACGAATAGAAAATTTAAAATTTGAGAGTGGTATTTCAAATGACATGTTTCACTTTTTACAAATGAAAGTGAGTACATTTCAAAATGATACCGACAGAGAATGTGGACTCGTTCTTAATGAGATGAGTATAACACCTAACATGTGTATGATTCATCAACAAAGACATTACTTGGAAATATAACGCTGCCACATGAACAAGGTACAGCAACGCATGCTTTGATATTTATGCTAACTGGTACAGCTAGTCGATGGAAGCATATCGTAGGTTACTATTATACAGGTGACTCCTTTAATGGGGAAACTATGAAAGACATAATATTTCAGATAATTAAAAAAGTTGAGGACATTAGTCTTCATGTCAATTACATAACTTCTGATATGGGTCCAGGAAATGGTAAGATATGGAAATGTGGAATAAATGTGGGACGGTATTCTAGTGTTAAAAATTATATACCTCATCCTTCTAATCCCGATGAGTCCTATATTTTATTGCAGACACATCTTTTGAAAAATTTAAAAGAATCATTGTTTTCAAATCAATTTTTTCTGTTGCCGGAACAAATCGTTACCAAATATAACTTACCATCAAATAGAGTTGAAAGTGCACATTTTAATGACTTAATTGAATCTCAAAAAGACTTAGAATTTTACCTAACACCTAAATTACGTCACGATGATATTCATTGTACTAACACTTATAATAAAATGCGTGTCAATAAAGCACAGTCTGTTCTCTCAATCCATGTCAGTAGTTCTTTAGAATTTTTAGCTAAAGAGAATCAGAAACCAGAGTTATATACTACCGCGTGGTTTGTGAAACAAATGTCCAGGTGGTTCTCATGACTTCTAGGTCATGTTGTTTAGCTTTAGGTTTAAAAAACGTTGACATATATTATATACAATAATACAATGAGAGTATTTCTTTCTTACGTGAAGTAATTGAGCTATTTACCAACATAAAAATAGGTAATAAAGGAGTATTTAAACCTGTACAAAGAGGAATTATACTTTCCACTACATCAGTTATTGACTTAGTTGAATTTTTGTTAAACGAGCGCAACTTTAAATTTGTTTTGACGGGTCGTTTTACGCAGGACTGCGTTGAAAATGTATTCTCAGTTTTGCGACAAAGACATGTGATTTCAGATGCTTTACAATTTAAAAATAATTTAAAACTGGCCATATCCATGTTTACAAAACCAATATTGACAGGAAACTATGAGATTGATGATAGCGAATATCTTCCTGGTTTTATAGATTATTTAACATCTAAAAAAAATAATATATCTCAGCCGTTTCTGATGCATCTACAATTGTAGAGAACATTCCTCCTTTTGACATAAGCGTAGTGACAAAATATAATAATATACAGATGAATTGTTTATACAACGTTGCAGGATATTGTTTGTCATCATCAATAGAATATTATAAATTTTGTAGAATATTATAAATATTTAGAAATATCTATGCACATCTACAAGAATTTTCATATCGTAAAACTATGTAATTTTAAATCCAATGCAGTTTTTAGTTTCCCATAAAATACAACAATTTTTTACATATAATTGCAAATACCGATTTATTATTACGGCTATACAATGTATTACAATTACTGCTAATTAAAATTTATACTTTTCACTAAAATAGTACAAATTTGTACACAATTTATTAAAAATTATTTATTATTAATGTTGTTCATTTAATTGAAGAAGTTATTAATATTGAATAAATGTTGGTAGATTTGTGTACAAAGTTATATATTTAACTAAAAATAATTGTTTTATCAGTTTTTAATTGTTTGGGATGGAAAAGGGTAATTGAAGATATTATAATTATTTGTAACAATATGTAAATCAATTAATGTTTTTACCAAAATCTTCACAGTACAATATACTATTTTTTGTGAACATGGATTGTTGTACACAAAAAGTAGTATACTGCATTGTAACAATTTTTGTGAAAATATCCATTCAAATACATATTGTTGGAAATACAATATAAACTACGCGTTTTCACAAAATATAAAAAAAATTTACACAACTGTTTTCATTGTAACATTTCCTTATTTATACAACACTTATTTCGACATACAAATACGTAGAACATCGCTAATAATAGTAATTTGACATAATTTTGCCCCGTAATTTGTAGATCAAGTCGTAGCAATGTAATTATAAGTTTCGACCGAAAACTACGAAAATCTACAAAATTCTAATTCTAGCATTTCATTGTGTTATTCTATATTTTTATGGACATAGAAATTTGTAGAATATCAGTATTTTTTGTAGTTTTACGTAGTTTTGCTGAGAATTTCATAAATCAAGTATACAATAGAAAAGTACAACAAATGATAAAAGTGTTCCAATTCTAGCATTTTTATGTAGATTTTTGTAGCACATTGTAAATTCAAGTAGATTTTTTTAAGCACTTTGTAAATTTATGTAGAATTTCATAGATTCTGACACTTATTTTTGGTCGTTTTTGTACTTTATTTTTATTTTTTGTACAAATTTGTAAAATTTTTTCCGCCAAGGCAGTCAGCTGACCACGAGCGTTCGACAAGAATAAAATTCTGTATCGGCAAAATTCGAAGTGTTTGACTCTTTGCTCCTCACCGTTTGACGAAGCAAGCGATTTTCGGTCCCTTGCGCCTCACGCGAGACGAATCCAGCAATCATGCATCGCGGGAACCGGCACTCGTGCATCTCATCAGATTCGAGACGCGCCGTCCGCGATAAGCGCGAACAAATGTTATTGTTATTAACAATCAACAAATAATATCGCTATTTGATCCACCACATCTTTTAAAATGAATTCGAAATAATTTACTTACAAAAGATTTTAAATATAAGTTAACAGATAATAAAACGCGAATAGCTAAGTGGGAACATATAGAGGACGCTTATTTCATTGATCGCAGTAATGGTCATTTTCGAATAATGCACAAATTAACAGATTTTCATATAGTGCCAAATGAAATAAAAGAATGAAAGTTTCCTATTGCACTCAAGTTTTTAGTCGCACCGTGGCCTCAGTAATAACACTAATAAGTTCAAATAGATCTTTAAGTTCTTGTGGAACGAGATGCATGCCTCAGGAAGGAAAAGAGACTGCCGAATTGTTGTTATTTTTTAATAATTTATTTGACTCGGTCAATATTATCAATGGCAATATTGTCAATGGTAATATTAATATAAAAGATGGACAATATGAACAATTGTGGAACGATGCTATTGCAATCTTTAATACAATGGAATTTGAAAAAAAGAAACCGTATGATCGAAAATTTCCTGATGTCCTAAAAAACTGGATACATATTATTAAGGGATTTAAATTAATAGTTGCTTATTGTAAAGAATTAGGTTTTATCGAAATAACTACCAAACTTTTTGATCAAGATGCTTTGGAAATTTTTTTTGGGCAATTAAGACAATATGGTGATAGAAACATCAACCCAAACTGTACTGCTTTCTTAGGCTATTATAAAAGTTTGTTAATAAATGCATTTATTCAATCTTTTTCAGTATATGGAAATTGTGCTACTGATAATATTTCTACATATTTGTTAAATTTTAAGCAACTTTTGCATTCATCTACATTTGAAAATAATGAAGTTACACCTATACTTAATATTAATATATCAATATCCATGCAATGTGAAAATTATTATGACAAAACGACATTTAGTATGCATAATTTTCCAATTAAACAATTATTGTTACTATTCCATAAATGTGAAACATGCATGAATAATTTAAATATGTTGCAAGAGAATATAATTTTTAAAAATAATATTATAGCAATAGAAAATATAACTCGCTTATACTTACCACTAATATCGCATTACGTAAAATTTTCAACTTATATTAAAGAAAATATAATGCAAAGGATTGACTTTGAATTTATAAAATGTGGGCATGAAATGTCGATGATAGCTAAGTTTATACATATGTATGTTGATCATATTATTAATCATTATTTTAGTGATGTTCGTTAGTTATTGTAGTGATGAAAAATTTTAAAAGGGTCATTAAATTTACCCAGTTATTCAGATCCTCTTTTTCAAATTGCAGATGATTATTTTAAGAAACACAAACGAAGTATTCGCATAAATCACTTGTGCTTGTAAATATTTATTATTAAGTAATGCTTGCATTTACTGTTTGTGCATAATGTTTGGATTAACATATTTTTACGTATTAATGTAAAAAGGCCTTATATTTTATTCACTGCGTAATATATGTATGAACATGTTTCCGAAATATAAATAATATAAATAATGTAACTCTTATATTACTTACCTTTCCTTATAATGACATATTTTCAAGAAACAAACAAAATAATCTGCATAAACTGTTTACTTTTATAAATTTATATACAGGGTGTCTCAGAACTTTGGGACACGGGCTCCGTAGGGACATAGAGCTAAGTGAGAGGAACAAAAAAGTCCTGTACCATAATGTGAAAATCGTAATAGTTTTTTTAGTAATAACAGCCTAAAATTAGGCGTTTTCCACGCCCAGCGCGGCCTATAGACGCTCCGCGGCAAGCTGTATGCGTAGGAGCTGAGCGATAACGCAGCTCGCGCTGACCGTCGCGCGGCGTCAAAACGCCAAGACGCCATCGCGACAGTCAGCGCAAGACGCATTATTGCTCAGCTCCTACGCACACAGCTTGCTGCGGAGCGTCTATAGGTCACGATGGGCATGGAAAACGCCAAATTTTACGCGGTTATTACTAAAAAACTATTACGATTTTCACATTATAGTAGAGGACTTTTTTGTTCTTCTCACTTAGCTCTATGTCCCTACGGAGCCTGTGTCCCAAAGTTCTGAAACACCCTGTATATATTTATTTATTTATGTTTTTTACCTTGACTTTATGTTCTCACTCGTCTCGTTTATTTTGTTATACGCACTTTCACTTATGTCATTTTTATTTAATATTATAAAGTATTTTATATTTATAATTTGACGATACATAATATTTGACATACGTGTGCATATCTGTCAAAAATTTGCACAAACTAATAGCTTACCACTTAAATAATATTACTAATCTTTAGGAATTAAAACTATGTCGTCTAGAGGTTTCGTTGATACCAATCTTGTCTCCGCCATTTTTCGGGAAATTGTCACATTACCCTTCATACACATATATGTATGTATCAAATACTTACACACGGCACAACCACCAATTAGATTTAGGCACAGTTTACTTCGTCGCACCGTCCCGCAATGGTTATCCTCCGCAACTCTATGCTCTGTCCCTATATTCCTATGTCTATGATCAGGACAGACATTGGGCAAGAGCACAGGCTTTTGCATAACACATAATATATAACACATAAGAGAATAAACCAATTAGTTTTCTTCAATTCTTTCCTCAGGATAGAAATGAAGAACTTTAATTGGTTGATTTTCTTATGCGTTGTGTATTATGCGTTGTGCAGAAGTCTGTGTTCTGGCCCATCTGCTTTCGACCGATGGCTGCTCACAGGTTTCTCTCTGGTTGTGCTATCAGAAAATCAATAGCGGTCTTTAAAATCCTTCCTCTCGTCGGCAACAGTTCTTAGGTCGACTGGGCAGCGCTTTAGCACAGTATACACAGTAACGACACTTTCCAAATTTCGCGTCTCCAAAAATAAACTGCATATGCGCAGCCATCTTACCTAATCAATAGCGTTACAAACATCTTTTCTATCTCACTTTCTCGCAGAAAAAATGTCTCATTTTAACTTATTATATTTAATTCAGCAGTGCAGCTAACACATGCAGACCATCTTTCTGTCACAATTGTTAATTTCAATTTCTGCTCCCTTTTTCTCTCTTTTCCTCTTTCTATATATATATTTATTTAAATTTTTATTAAATCATATAGAGTATAATTTATTAAATGTTGCAAATACTTTGAACACCGTATAATGGCTCTTTCCTTTTAGCGTTCAAAGCATTTGTAGTCTTAAGTAGACCCTGCTTGCTATTGGTTAGGTAACAAGGTTGCACACATGCAATTCATTTTTGGAGACACTAACATCAAAGGTGAGTGTCTCCATTGTGTATGCTGTGGCTTTATCCTGAGCGACTTGATGCTCCTCCCGTCTCGTGCGCTCATTCTTCAGATTTCTGTCATTAATGACTCGATAATTATTGTGAATCTCACAAAACGGTATGGGACTTTTATATTTGTCTTAACCCGTTCTATGTCTCCACGAGCTCTGCAACATTAGTTATAAAACACCCTGTATAATGTCTCCTTTTGAACCTAGCAATAGTCGATACGAACTATTTTCTCATATCTTTAAATTTTGCTAATAATTAAATCGGTCACTTTATACGAATTATCCTGTGTATTGTACCGACTAAACATTAACGAAATTTGATTAAGAGATTCATGCATATTATTGAACTATTATATATGTATATTCTAGAAAATAATTTATTACTAATAATTACAAATTTAAGTTTGTTATACAATATCATTGTGATTATTATTGCTTGTTGTTTCTATAATAGCTTGGTAGAGCAAAGGTCGTAATTCTTCTCTCATTATCGGATGTTTATCACCATGTGTTATTGTTAGTACTGCACTGGCTTTCTTCAATATTTCTAGTGCTTGTTTTAATTTTCTCAAATGTAATTGTATTTTTCCCATTGTTAGATATAGCAATCCAATCAAAGGATGTACCTCTCCATAATATAATCTAACAAAAAAAAAACAATAAAACTCTTGAATTAAATATTAATTTCTTTTTCTTTAATATTACTATGAAAAAATATTAATTACACTCTACATATTAATTATTCTAAATCAACTATAAACTTCATAAATAGCATATAACTTGCCAATGTAGATTATAATAGATAAAATAAAAAATAATAAAAGAGACACTTAATATTAATATAATATTCTAGATTTTTGTATTAACGTCTAAATTATTGTATTATAATTGTATATTGTATTATAATTAAATTATTGTATCTTTATATTCAAGTATATTTTATAATGTCTTTAATGTTTCTTTCTAAATTAAATTACAATTTCTAGTTAATAATTTGGTATTAAATCAATTATATAGTTTCAATATAATCAAATAATATTTTGAAAAAGAAAAATTGCTAATCACTCACAAATATCCTGGTAGAAGCTGTTTGCTATATAATTCCGCATCTTCCCAATATTCCAGGTTTACAGCAGCAAGAAAGGCTGTATCTAGTGTGCGTATATGTTGTATATTGAAACTATGCAATATATCTTTTTGTTTTTCTAGACATATTTTACTGACGTCAAGATCTTTTATCATTAATAAGGATAAATACATCAATCAAATAATATATAACACTATATTCATTGTGTTAAAAAGCTTCTATAAAAATCATAATTTTTTCACATTCTTAAGGATACAAGCCATAGTTTTCATTTTTCCTAGATGGTGGATAGTAAAATCTGTAATTTCATGAAAAGTCTTTTTAAAGTCCTCTGATAATTTTGCATCACATTTGTCACATTTATCATTTTCAATCAAGCATGGAGAAGCACATGATGGATTTGGACACACAGCTGTTTCAGCCATTGGTTCTGATTGCTTACATCTTTCACAATTGCACCAAAAATAGTATGAATCATACAGCTCTTTTCTTCTCTCATTATTGGAACTCAACAGATCGACATAAGATATACACACCTATATATAAAATAAATATGCATAGATATATTTTAGATAATATATTATGACATATTAAATACATTAATTTTGTCTGTAGGAAATTTATCAGCATTTCAAAAGTAAAAATTGATAGATGTATTCTATATTTTATTTTTAATTGATGTATTATTTATTTAAAGATATTTGTTTATTAGCAAAATGTTAATTAAATTTTTTAATTGTAAATAGTTAACATATAGAAAATATAAAATTTAAAAATGATTAAATTTGTTGACAAAATCAATTTTAGCTAATAGTTTAATTTTGGATATTTTTATTTATTTATTAATACCTGCCTGTGACCAATCCAGATAAGGAAGATCAATTAATGTCCTGACAATAATAGTAGTTCCTTCAAAAGTAACAACTGCATTTGGTTTGCAACTGTGATCTATCACTGATGCTCCCAAATAAATACCAACTCCAATACTGTTCATGTCAAGATCCAATATATTAAAAGAATTTATACATATTCTACCATAAATACCTATCAATTCTGCAGTATTAGGCATTAGTGCTTCACCAAGAAATTCGAGCAAAACTCCACACAATGAAATAAAATGTTCCATTCGTTTTGGGTCTTTTTTTATATCTGAATAATCTATATACCAAATATAAGTTAATTATAATCTTGTACTTTTTTTCTTGAATCCCGAATAGTTTCTTGTATAAAACAATTTTCAAGATTATACAATTTTTTCATAAATAAAATGAAACAATTTAAAAACAAGAGTTTACTTACGAGACATTAAATCCTTAAATTTCCTAAATTTTGTTTCACAGTAATAACCTACTTCATTAGCTCCACCTTGGTTAAGTTTGATAATTATACGTGCCATAAGCCGTGCTGCATCTGGTATTATTTTTGGTGATATTCTTTTTAAATTTGCACATTCTGCTTTATGTATTGGCCAAGATTCTTTCTGACAATTACGATCACAATAATATACGTATTGACATCCAGAACATTTGGATAACTTGCCACTATAATAAATTATATTTTGTGAAAAAGAAATTAGTACACAACAAATATTTGCATTTAAGTATATATACCTCATAATTATATTAATAAAATAAAAATAATTCAATTAAAAATAATTTACCTTATAATAATATTTAGATTAAGACAAATAATTATTTACAAAATAACTAAAGATAGTTATAAATAAAAAGCGTCATTATTTTGATCATTTCATCACTCTGTACCTTTTCAGACAATTATCACAGCATATAGCATTGCATTTAGAAGTAAGAACATAAGCAAACGGCTTACTAGTAAAAATAGTTATTCCTCTTTTTACTGTAACTTCATTGTTATTCATTTTACATGCAATATATATAACATGTATAATATATATAACCTGTACACAATATTAATACTCTTAAGTAAAACCTAACCTAAATTACTCGTCGTAGACCAGGGCCGTTAAACTCCCATATGTATTTAGCGCCCAACGTTTGTGGCGCTCTCTGACATTTCTTCGGTGATACTAAAATTCAATATGGCGTCATGTGTCAATGTGTGTGTTGTACAGCTGCTATGCACACATATTAACACGTATGTGCGTGTAGTATACAGGGTGAAGAAAAAACCACGGGACCCCTGAAAATTTCGAAAAATATACACTTTATAAAAAAATGTTTCAGACAAAAGTTGTAGCGTTGAAAAAGATCTATTTACCGATCTTAACAATTTGACCTTGGGTGGCGTCATCAAGGTCAGGACAAGATCAACTCGGATTTTTTAAATGGAACCCCAACTTTTTATTGCATATTCTTATAGCCCTTCTTCAGACCTTTTCAAAGCACTATCATTTTATCCAATTTGAATAAGCTGTTCCGAAGTTATCGAGTTTTTTAAAGTAAGATATCTAGCCAACTAAGGCAAGATCGGAGGATAATCCGGCCAACTAAAGCAAAGTCGGAGTGATCGAGCCAACTAAGACAAGATCGGAGGATGATCCAGTCAACTCGTAAAAATAATTGCGCGACTAACTTCCAGGCGTTGGCTCCTATTGGCTTGTCTTAATTTCGTTGATTGATTTATTTCAGTTATTTATTTATTTGAACTATTCTGTTGTTCGATGTTTATTTCTTCCATTTACTCATTTAATACTCATTACAGTTTAATGAATCGCAAACTCGACTGAAATTCCTCTATTTTTTTGAAAATTATTAAGAAACAGTTTGAAGCTAGTTGTAAGCTGAGTTAATTGCACTTCATTCCGTGCTCATTATTATTCTTCAGCACTGTCTTTAGAATAACTTTGAATTGATCCAAATATTAATTTAGTCGATTAGACTAAATCTTACCACTTCTGCTTGTCAATATGGCAAGTCTTTCAGAACGAGAACGCTTATCTCTTTTGATGATGAGAGGATGGGATGATGGACTAAGGTCGTACAATGATGTGAGGCGGCTTTTTAATGAAACTTTTCGTAATCAGGGTAATACCATTTCAAAATCTACCGTTGAAAGAACGATAAGGCGTTTTCAGGAAACTGGAAGTGTGAAAAATTGTGCAATACCAGGTAGGCCAGTATCAGCAACAAGTCTAGAAAAATCATTAGATGTTCTACAATCTTTTATCGAAAATCCGCATGATTCGACCCGCAAAGTAGGAGAGCAACATGAAATAGATCAAATGTCTGTGCTTAAAATATTGAAAATGAATAAATTTCATCCTTATAAGATCCATCTTGTACAAGAGCTAAATGAAGATGATTTTGATAGGCGCATTGAATTTTGTGATTTGATGATGGAAAATATAGCCGAAGATCCTAACTATCTATCAAATGTAGTATTTTCAGATGAGGCAACATTTCAGTTAAATGGCCACGTTAATCGACACAATTGTAGATTTTGGTCAGATACAAATCCTCACTGGATTGAAGAAACACACACGCAGTATCCACAAAAAGTGAATGTTTGGGTAGGCATTTTGAATAATGTTCTCATAGGTCCACTCTTTATTGACGGAAATCTAACAGCGATAAAATATGAAAATATGCTAAGAAACGGAACAGTTCCAGCGATACAAGTAATCATGGATGACAACTTCGAGCATACATGGTTCCAACAAGATGGTGCCCCTCCCACATTACGGAAAGGACGTCCGTAATTATCTGAAAACAGTGTTTCCTCATCGATGGATAGGTAGAAGAGAACCTATAGAATGGCCTCCTCGATCACCCGATTTATTAACCTAACGATTATTTCCTGTGGGGCCATTTAAAGGATAGAAATTACAAAACGAAACCACAAAATTTGGATGACTTACGAAATCGAATTCTTGATGAAGCTGCTCTCATCCCTGCTGATTACATTCAAAAAGCCGTTTCATCTTTTTACGATATATTAGCTTATTGTCAAACTGTTGATGGCGGACATTTTGAACAATTACTTTAAAGCTTTCCAGTATTGCCTTAGTTGGCCGGATCATCCTACGATCTTGCCTTAGTTGGCCGGATCATCCTCCGATCTTGCCTTAGTTGGTTGGATTATCCTACGATCTTGCCTTAGTTGGCTGGATCATTCTCCGATCTTGCCTTAGTTGGCTAGATATCTTACTTTAAAAAACTCGGTAACTTCGGAACAGCTTATTCAAATTGGATAAAACCATAGTGCTTTGAAAAGGTCTGAAGAAGGGCTATAAGAATATGCAATAAAGAATTGGGGGTTCTATTTAAAAGATCCAAGGTGATCTTGCCTTAACTTTGATGACGCCACCCAAGGTCAAATTATTAAGATCTGTAAATAGATCTTTTTCAACGCTACAACTTTTGTTTGCAATATTTTTTTATAAAGTATATATTTTTCGAAATTTTCAGGGGTCCCGGGTTTTTTTCTTCACCCTGTATATAGGAAATACGAGGAATATTAGTACGAAGTAAAAATGCAGAAAATAATGTGTATTCTGTGAAATGTATATATTTGACAAAAAAAATGTAAATATGTATACATAAAGAAAATATTAATACCATAAACAAAAATATAAGGACAATAATTTGTTAATAATACTAAATTTTTAAATAATATTAAAAGAAATTTGTAATAAAATTGTATATTATCGCCGTCCCTAAAATGGTTGTAGCATACTCATAACTTTTTCTCCTCAGGTCCCTCCACTGGCTTCATTTTCAAATTCTTGAACCATTGTAGCCTACGTTCAGCATTTCGTGGGAATTTATGCAATGGTGATGTCTTCCCTGTTAAACATCCTGGTACACAACATACTCGTATCATCTTGATCCCGCTGTTATGAGACCTATAAAAAAAAATAAACCTGTATTTAGTTAAACAGATATTTGCATCATTTACTAATGATGCAAATATCTGTATAATACATACAATATTACAGTATCATATATACTCAAATAAAACAAGTTGTTTGTCGCTAACAGAGAAAAGATTTTGGTGGTTCTTGAGTAACTGTTTCTTCTTGTTTCTTCTTCTTTTCTTGTTGAAGTCTTCTTGTAGTCCTTCTGCAAGAGAGAGAGAGAGAGAGAGAGAGAGAGAGAGAGAGAGAGAGAGAGAGAGAGAGAGAGAGAGAGAGAGGGAGAGAGAGAGAGAGAGAGAGGGGGGGGGAGAGAGGGAGGGAGGAGAGGAGAGAGAGAGAGAGAGGGAGAGGGAGAGGGAGGAGAGAGGGAGAGGGAGCGGGAGAGGGAGAGGGAGAGGGAGAGAGAGAGGGAGGGAGAGAAAGAGAGAGGGAGGGAGAGGGAGAGGGAGAGAGAGGGGGGGGAGAGAGAGAGAGAGTGTACATAAATATCTTCATAAATTATGTATATATATAGAGTAGATTCCATGAATAAATTTTAGCTATCTATGCCTGCATGCAGCTCATGTTCAAGAAGCAACCAGCTAATATACTAACATGATTTGACATTACGTTTAAGGATAGTCATAACACATTCTTTTTGTTTTCAGTCATCAATTTGCTGAAATAGCTTGTTCACAATGTATATTAAATTTTTTAGCAGCAGATTAACAGCAGAAACTAAGCACAAACTTTTGATGCAGGCATGCGGCTAAGAATGTCTACAAACTTTATCAAACTTGCTCTTGCTATGTTAGCATATTGCAAAGCTTACTTTTATTTTTTACTTATTAGTCTCTGTTAGTAAAAAGTGGACAATTATACTAATGCATAATATTTATATATAAATACAATACAATATATAAAAACAAAACTTACACTTTGGTTGTCGTTACTTGCAGTAATACTAAAAGTTTTTCCTTCTCGCACCTGCTTCTTCTCGTGCTTCTTCCTCGTAACACCTCTTCTTCGTAACACTTTTTTCTTCTTATTGAAGGCTTAAAGCAGAGCTGGTCATGATCTGCACATTTCGGGCGAAATTCAGTAGGTGACACCTACCGTCCCCCTCGCACCGTTCCGCGCTCAGCGGCCGGGGTGACGATCGCGATATATTCAGGCCCGTCGCTATATAAGAAATCAGCTGAGGCGTCACATTATCATTAAAATTGTTTCCTCGTTTAATAATTACTTTAAAATATATATGCTTACGTGTTTAATACATACGTATATATATATTAGGAGCGCAAAAAAGTTCTGAGCCTTTTTTTGCAAAATTCAAAATTTATTTAAAAACAAACAAAACTATATTAATCAACGAAATATTCCCCGTTTGCATCGATGACCTTTTGCCATCTTTCGGGCAGCTTGCGAATTCCCTGATGGTAGAAGCTCACCGGCTTCGAGGTGATAAAGTCATCAATGCATTTTCGTATCTCTTCAAGTGTCACAAAATGTGTATCAGCCAAGAAATGCTGCAGAGACCGGAATAGGTAGTAATCGGAAGGCGCCATGTCTGAGCTATATGCCGCGTGCGGGAGAAGTTCCCAGCCTAACGCAAAGATATGGTCCTGAGTCACTTTCGCAACATGTGGTCGGGCATTGTCATGAAGCAGTATCACTTTACGACGTCCTTTGCCAGTAAATGACCTCTTTTCTTCAAACGCATCGCTCAAATTGCTCAATTGTTGCTGATAGCGATCTGCCGTTACTGTTTCACCCGGCTGTAACAACTCGTAATACAATACACCTTTCCAATCCCACCATATGCAAAGCAAAACCTTCTTGGCGTGGATATTGGTCTTTGGCGTCGATGTCGAAGGTTGACCATGATCAACCCATGATTTTTTACGCTTCGGATTATCATAAAGTATCCACTTTTCATCACCTGTAATGATTTGGTGCAGAAAATCCTTTTTCCGGAACCTTGAAAGCAAAGTGAGTGCCGTGTCACGCCGTCGATTTTTGTTGTCTTCAGACAGTGCATGCGGAACCCATCTGCCTTCATTTTGAACTTTTCCCATTGCATGTAAACGTGTGGAAATGGCTTGTCGCGTAACGCCAAGTTGCTCTGCAAGCTCCTTTTCAGTTTGTGCAGAGTTTATATCCAACAATGCTTGCAGTTCGTCCGTTTCAATCTTTTGAGGGCGTCCAGCACGCGGTTCATCTTCAAGACTGAAATCTCCTTGGCGAAATTTTTGACACCACCTTTTACACGTAGCATAACTTACAGCGTTCTCTCCATATGCAACACAGATCATTTCAGTGGCTTCAGCAGCATTTTTCTTTAGATGAAACGCGAAGTGGATGGAAAATCAAATATACTCTTTTGTTATTGCCATCGTGAACACCGCTGATATTAAGGTTATGTGCATCAAACACCAAATCGCACGATGTTTCGAAAGACCAAATGTCACTGCTTTAAAACCGCAAGAGGGCGGGAAATTAATGCAATTTAAATTGTGGTTTCAGTAGTATGAAATCTAGGGCTCAGAACTTTTTGGCGCTCCTAATATATATATATATATGCATACATACATACATATATAATACATAAACATATATATTTTAACGTGATTATTAAACGAGGAAACAATTTTAATGATAATGTGACGCCCTAGCTGATTTCTTATACAACGATGGGCTTGAGTGTCGCCCCGGCCGCTGAGCGTGGAGCGGTGCGAGGAGGATGGTAGGCGTCACCTATTGAATTTCGCCCGAGATGTGCAGATCGTCGCCAGCTCTGGCTTAAAGCATTAAAGCATTAAAGCAAACGCAACTGTAGCAATATGGCAGCCACAAAATAGTTCCGATTTCTCACATGTCCCATCTCAGAGAGCGTTGCTAACGCTAATCATTTTCGCTCCATAAAGGCTCGTCTACAATAGCTGTAAGAGTAAGGCTGTAAGGCTGTAACGTAAGCTGTCAGCGAATGAAAATATTTCATTTCGTGTCTTGCAACCTTACAGCCTTACTCTTACAGCTAATGTAGACGAGCCTTTAGAGTTTGCACTCCCTGGATTAGACGTATATGCAATGCTACGAGATCGGCAGAATTTCCTACGCTACAGCGTATGCCTGAAGTGACATATGGTCGCGGACATAAAGGTTGTCACTTTTTTTTAATGACTTTTGGGACGCATCCCGACTTGAGAAAGACTACGTTTACACAGCCCAATTTACGCCAAAGTTATAACATTGATGTTATAACTACTGACGTTAGATGCCGTGTAAACACTCCTTTACGACGAAGTTATTACATTGATGTAGTAACTTAAAGTCATTTGGTGAAGAGGCTAAAGCCAGAGGCACACGGTGCTTGTTTTCGTGCTGGATTGCTTGCTGGATGAAAATACTGCGTTCTGATTGGTGCATTTCCATTCATCTTCGGAAATGTACCTATCAGAACGCAGTATTTTCATCCAGCAACACAGATGTCTATACTATACTAGATTGCTAACTTCTCAGAAGAGCTGTGTCCCGCCCATTTTCCGGTTCGGCCATGAAGACCGCCAAGACATGGCGGCGGTGTGTGTGTAGTGTGTATGTGAATACCCGATGCGTATGTAGTAGTGCGTGGTAGTGCGTATGTGACACCTGATGTGTCTACTACTATTTATGTTAGTAAAACTGTAAATCTACAAACGAGATAATGCCGAATAAGTATTGTAAATTTCAAAAATACGAACAAGAAAGAATATCATTTAAAGATGTGTGTATTAATAAGGTGTTGCTAATCTAAGTGTTTGGTAAAGGTTAAAATTAAATTGAATATATACAGTTCAAAATATGTCAAAGTATTTGTATTAATATTTTTTACATACATATAAAGAATAAAACGCAACTTATGTGTTATTAAATAATATTAATTTTGTAAGTTTGTATCTGTTACTTGCAGGATTTCTATCTTTCGTTGTTTTTGTAAGTGAATACATTCTAAGTGTTAAGTATTCTATCGCAGGAATAGTATCACATTCCATCATGGAACTCGTAACAGGTTGTATCAGAGGATCACTATTACATTCCACTGCAGGAACAGTGTCACAAACAGGAGCTCTCAGAGCTATTGATGGCACAGCCAAATTTTTTAATAGAACACTACTTATATTTGCTTTTTCCATGATATCTGTAGGTAAAAAGTGAGCACTACAGATTATATGGTATTTTTTTGGTGTAAAATTTCCTCCGATTGCACAAATCCATTTTTTTTAAATCTCTGGACGTTTTATCGGAAATCTGAAATATTAATAATGTTTAATTGCAAGATAACCCTCACATATTACAAACCTCGAACATTTATTATATATAAATGTATTCTACTTACTTAAATAAGTGATATCCTTTTTTATTCGTATTATTGCAATTAACAATGCAACATGTACTTGGCATTATCTCGTTTATATATTTGCAGTTTTACTAATATAAATAGCAGTAGATACGACACATCAGTGTAGACACATCAGGTATCACATACTTACAGTACAGCACTACTACACACGCATCGGATACTCACGTACGCACTACAAACACACACCGCCGCCATATTTTGGCGGTCTTCATGGCCGAACCGGAAAATAGGCGGGACACAGCTCTTGTATAGGTCAAAGATCGAAGTTAGCAATCTAGTATAGTATAGACATCTGTGTCCAGCAATCCAGCACGAAAACAAGCATCGTGTGCCGCTGGTTTAGAGTTTCTACATTGATGTAAGGAAGACGTGTAAACGGACGCAGTGTAAATATGACAATAATACCAATATAAAATTGAACATCTTAACTTGATTGTAAAATTGATTTATGTTGTGAAAATTGTAATACGGGTCCGAGATCAAACAAATGATTTGATGGTGTTAAATTCAACAAATGTTGTAATATAATTTCTTTCTGACGCTTTCGCCGTTTAATTAAAATATTTCGTACATATAGTATATATTGCATCGTCATATTTTCTACTATTTTCAAATATATAGCAACAAACGAGCGTACGCTTTCCATATTTTCCATGATTAATTTTTTCCAAAATTGATAACCTAAAATTTTAATTTCATTTTTAGTTTAATATTATATTTTATTATATAAATTTTACTATATAGATATATACATATTTTATAATTTTCAAATTCATAATATAACCTAAAGTTCACTTTATTTGTTGATTTATTTACATACTATTCTTTTCATATTCTAATTCTTTTATATTCAGACTACAATCACAATTATTTCATTTTTCGGCCTTTTATATTGGTACTAATGGAAATCCTTGACTCACTCGAAAGTTATTAAGTTATTTCAAATAGATAAGCGTAAATGTGTAAACGCAACTCACCTTAAGTAGGAGTTATAACGTTAGCATTACTAAGTCGAAGTTAAGCCAACGGCACACGGTGCTTGTTTTCGTGCTGGATTGCTTGCTGGATGAAAATACTGCGTTCTGATTGGTGCCATCCATCTTCGGAAAAGTACCAATCAGAACACAGTATTTTCATCCAGCAAGCAATCCAGCACGAAAACAAGCACCGTGTGCCACTAGCTTTAGAAGCCGTGTAAACGTAGTCAATCATTGCATTTAGCGGAAAAAACCGCTCAATGAGCGATTAGTGACTATTGGTTCTTACTGTTAGATCCTTACATTCAGATCAATAACGTTGACAAATTATTCAACAGTTGCTCAACCGTTGAGTGTCGTGAACGCACCCAATTCTTACATTTTGAAAAATCAGCAGCGGAGGGATAGATACATAGTGCAAGTCATTCAAATGGGAATGCGTCTTTTACAAGGTATTGAACAGCTATGTATATTAAATTTTAAGTGAAATCGTATTTATTTAGTCACTAATCGCTCACTGAGCGGTTTTCTCCGCTGAACGCAATGGGTGCATTCAGTACTACAACCGCTCACTGAGCGCTAAGTGAGCTTTTGCGTCTGATTGGTGTATATTTTTAAATCTAAAGGTATATACCAATTAGATGCAAGAGCTCACTTAGCGCTCAGTGAGCGGTTGTAGTACTAAATGCACCCATTGGCTGCGTTCAGTAGAACAAAATGATCAGTGAGCGCTTAGTGATTATTGTCTGTGATAGGAGCATTCTTTTAGATTCTTCATAGACCCAGAAGTATTTATCAATCAGGAGCGAGAATTACTAAGCGCTCACTGATCACTTTGGGTC